TGGACATCTCGTAGCCGAAGAGAGAAGCTGTGGTGGCGGCTGTCACTACAATGGAAGCACCCGTGTCTACCAAAGCTAACACATGGATATTGTTAGCCTTCACAAGGAACTGTCTACGAAAAGGCGATCAGAATCGGTTAAGGCCAGTACCAGTAGTGAGTAGCATCTGCTCCCAAGCGAAGGTGCTCGATGGTGACCGGTACACGTAGTGCAGGCTAAACGTGCTCCTGCACCTCAATGGCTTGCGAGGCCTGCCCCGGTGGGATGAATTTATCCTGTGAGGCCGTCACCTCCGGTGCGCGTACGGGGAGAGTAACGCCTTCTTGCGATTGACCGAGGACCGGGGTCTTACGCAGAAACAACACAAACAAGAAAGCAGGTCTTGAAACTGGGGCACCCCGACAGTACATATTGCAATAAAAAACAGCAATGTTACTCAATAGATGAAGAGTAACGATGGTAAAACAGAGCGATACCCAAATATCATAAAAGGACCAGGATCCGAAAAGCCATCTCCACAAGAAAGAAAGAGGAGAGGAGGATGAAGAAGACGAACTAGACATATGAACGTCATTAGCTGTGCCGAAAAAAGGCGATCACGATTAACTTGACAACAGTTCCTGCCACTGGTGGCTGAACTAACTCGCTAAGGTTAATTAAAACAAGATTATGAAAAATAGTAAGAGGAAGAGAAAACGATGAGGCTCGGATGCTCTTCGGCAAACCGTCGCATATGGCGAAAGACGCGAGACGAGTTTCGTAGCCGGATAGAGGGTCGTACCCAAAACAGCCGTCAGAAGTAGCGAACATAAATTGGGTGACCGTAGAACATGGCACAGGCTGAGCATCGCGCCTGATGACGAGCGTAGCGGGATCTGTAGAAGACTGCAACGAAATACCGCTTGATAGACTGAGCTCAACCAAGGGCTGCGAAAAGCAGGAACCGTTGAAGAAACCTAGCAAAACGTTTTGCGAGGGTACCCCCATGCAGCGATGAATGCGAACGATCTGGCTGCCCAGGAATGAAGCTGCCACCGTGACGTCTTAATAGGCTTTGCAAGGTGAGGGTCGGATTGGCCCCGGGAGAGGCACGAAGGCTCAAAGCCAGCAGGTTGATCCTATCGCAAAGCGCAGAAAGGGCATGACAAAAGAGAGCCGCTACAGCTGATTCCATCGAGCCTTCACTGCTAGTAGTTGCACTGCGAGCTGATTTGAGAATAGGATCGGCATCGGAGCTCGTGTTGTCCTTAACCTGGTTACAGGAACCAACGCATACTCTTGGTCGGAGAGAATTATAAGTTCACGCCACAATCGTGCAGGGTGGTGGAGTTGGTCCAGGACATCGCGAACACTTGTGAATCGCTCATCCAGATGCTGCCGAGGAGATGACCTGACAGTCTCATCAACGGTATAAAACGACACCATCCCATGGGGCTAGGTGTCCATAAAAGAGCGTGGCCGTGGCGAAGAGTATAAATACCAGCGTCGTGATTACAATGTCTGAGGCTTCTGTAGGTGAATCAGGTGAAAAGCCGTGATCCATATGAATGGTCGTCTGTATAAGGAAACAGTTTGACACTGTGGCGAAACGTTTAGTAGAGCATCCAAAAGGAGCGGAGGGCCAAGCGATATTCAGCGCACTGGGTGGTTGAACCATAAGGTTACAAGCATCGGAGGATACGATCTGCTGTGATTCCCTAATAGTTTTCGTCTCGCGCTCCAAAAACGGTGATTGATTAGGTGACATAAGGCGTAAGTTCTTTGCAGAGAAAAGCGGGCGAGCCATATCTCTGAGTATTGGGCCTGTACACGTGAACCACGAGAAGACTCACCGTATCGCCTAAACGTGGAATAAACGAGATAGTCATGAGAAGAAGACATCGCAAACAAATACAGAACGGTCGTCGTAGGGCAAAGCCAAGCTGAGGTAGGCGAGGCGCTCAAGATATCACAGAGAGAAAAAGACCGATAAGGCCAACAAAAGACGCACTTGAGGGACGATGAAACACATCTAGAGGTGGAAGACAGACAGCCAAAAGAAGTACTGGCTAGCTCCTCGTTGCAACTGGTGACATTAGTTCGAGCATTGGATCGCTCTAGAGCAGAATGATTCACGTGAGGTAGTGGAGAGAGCGCTATCTGCTCGCGAGCTTCTGTGAGTTTGCGTAAGTGTCGACGAGGTGCACGTAAAGCAGGAGAAGCAGAACGAGGAGCTCTACGATCAGAAGTGGGAGGTTTCACGGAATAGGAAGGCATACCTGTACCTCTGTGGAGGGTTCTAGCAAACGGGCACGAAGAGTCAGATGGAGCCATTCGCTTGCAGCCACCGTTCCGCGGTCGCTTTTCCGCGGATCCTTCCAAACTATTTGTTCCTTGACAACGCTAATCCGTCGCTTACTCCTTCTCCTCATAGCTTTCGCTGTGCAGCCACGACGGAACTTCGTTGCTTGTTCCTTCATTTCCCTGAAATGGGCGCTACTATTCCCGCACTGCCTCCTCTGAAACTCGGTACCATCTACAAATACGTCTATGTCTTTGATCAACCGGCCTTCGAGGAATATTTTCTTTATTCTTCTTTTTTTTGTCGAGCGGGTCTTGAGCCCACGCTTGTTCAGGCGTTCTACTTACGTGCCAGACAAAAGAAAGGCTGCAGTGACACCATCTACGATTTGAAGAAAGAATGAGCGGTATCTGAGCGACGACCAAAAGAACAAAGGAGACGCGGACGAGTTTCGCAGGCTGTGGAATTGACAGCTGCGCGTCCAGACCAAAAAGGGGTTACTTTAATTTTTCTTTAGAGACACACCAAAAAGGAGTTACTTCAATTTTTCTTTAGAGACACCTGCTGCAGTCATCTTCGCCTTTTTGGTTTTCGAGGTGGAATGACTAACCCGGAGTGGCCATCTTTGAGCTAGTTCGAATGATTGAAAGTGCAGAAGAAGACTCTTCGTTCCGACCTCAGCGAGGGGGACTACTTGCTGCTACCAGTAAGCGAGCGCCCGCAGTGGAAGCTGAACTATTACCTGATTCGACACCAGTAAGGTACTAAAGTCTATCTTACATATATTCACGAATGTAGGAGGCGAATAAAGCGAATTCAGTTGTGAACATACTGCTGTTAAGGTACGAGACCAAGGCACATAGCAATAACAAAACGAATACATACTAAATGAAAGAGCTACTACGCATGGGTAATGATAGACCTGTAGATATAGATAGAAAGCACAGTCCGCCAATACACTATTATGAATTGCTGGGTAGATGAACACATTTCGTTTCAGTCACCTGCAACGGAACGCCTACCGATGAGCGCTCACCTCTTCCATTACCGTGCAATCCACCCCTGATGTCGTACAAATAATTGCGCACGCTAATTTTTGGGCTAATTTAGTTGTACATTCTTTTACACTCATTCATTATTATGTTCGTTCTTAGTAGGCTACAAGCGAATGGCTCCATCTGACTCTTCTCAAGCCTGCTTCAACTGCGGTAGTATTGGTCATTTTGCTCGTCAGTGCCCGTTTGCTAGAACCCTCCACAGAGGTACAGGTATGCCTTCCTATTCCGTGAAACCTCCCACTTCTGATCGTAGAGCTCCTCGTTCTGCTTCTCCTGCTTTACGCGCCACCTCGTCGACACTTACGCAAACTCACAGAAGCTCGCGAGCAGATAGCGCTCTCTCCACTACCTCACGTGGCAATCATTCTGCTCTAGAGCGATCCAATGCTCGAACTAATGTCACCAGTTGCAACGAGGAGCTAGCCAGTACTTCTTTTGGCTGTCTGTCTTCCACCTCCAGATGTGTTTCATCGTCCCTCAAGTGCGTCTTTTGTTGGCCTTATCGGCTTTTTCTCTCTGTGATATCTTGAGCGCCTCGCCTACCCTCAGCTTGGCTTTGCCCACGAGACCGTTCTGATTTGTTTGCGAGAATGTCTTCTTCTCATGACTATCTCGTTTATTCCACGTTTAGGCGCCCTCTCTCTCTCCCTCTCTCACGAAAATTCCAATGAACCACCAAATTATTCGGTCTAAAAGGACTAATGCAACCCTCCGTCTCACGCAAGTTTCTGAGTATTTATAAAGATTGTCCGATTTAAAGAGATTCATAGGAACAATGCGTTGACGGAGTCCTTTTAGACCGAATAAGACGGAGCGTTGGGGTTTTGTCGGGGATTTCCGAAATTAAGCACGATTTTTCTGGTTTAAACAATGGTAAAATTTTTCCAACGCATCTTTTTGCAAACATATGAGCAATTTCGGAAAGAAGAAGTTTGGCCTCTCCGAGGACCACTCAACATCTTTTTGAAAGTTCCTGATGTAAATGCGTTGGGAATCATTAGGGAAAACTCCGAGCGGCGCGAAAAACCCGTTTCTTGTGTACCATTTCAAGTGGGCGTATTTGGACACTCAAGAATGCACTTGGAACGGATCTTTTCGTAAAACAGAACTAGGCGATGGATGGTTCAGCGCTCTTTATCTTCATTCTTGTATGCACTATGCCCTAGGCTCCCATGCAGAGGAGATGGAATGGTGCGACTTCTATGTGATGTGCATTATGTTCATATGGCTCAGAAAGTTCCAGCCTACCCACGGATTCGTTTAATTCGAACTGCTCAGTAATTTACGCAGAATCACGCGCAGCTCAGAAGCGCATAACCACTTGTTCAACGCGGCCTGCTCGGCGCTAGCAACTGTCAAATTCATGAATTACGATAAACGTACGCACGTGCTACGTCCATCATCCCTAGTAGGGATACGTTTTCCGTCCCTTTCAACTTCACCATCGAGGACGTCGTTCTGTGGCTGGACCGATCAACGTCCAGTGCACCTGTAGATATGTAGTTCCACATAGTTCCACGATGCGAACTCTTCGCCACTTCGCCAGGACACATCAGACATAATTTCTGTCGACATCTGCGTTTGAATAGGTCTGCTTTCAGCGGGCGCTGAGCCTCTCTACACTCTCATCTCTGGGAGGCTGCTCTTCGCCCGTTACAGCGATGACACTCCATCCAACGACATACTCGACGCCAATCGGCGGCCGTCAAGCTCCTTACGAGCCTCTCGGCCCTCCACCAAGATCTACTGTAATCTTACTCGGCGGCAGGCCGCTTACGCTCCGAACGGAACAGGTGAGTCTCCTTCAGATGGGCGATCCAGACCCTACCGTTCTTGTTAGCTATCAAGATCACACCGGTGAAAGTGTCCACGGAGCTCTCCCAACAACCCGCCATTCTTCCACCTCTAGGGCCAGTAACCCAATTTACAGACTTGCTACTCCGCCTGGATAATTACAAACATCTCAATACCATCCGCTTTGTCTTGGATTCAGCGTTGATCGAAGGGGTGCTTCCTGTATTGATCTACATGCGGTCTCAAATAACTTCCCAGACGACTACGGTCACATGATAAGTGCGACACCTGTCCGAAGTATCGACGAGGACGAATCCTGCTCGAGCGGTTCCTCCTCGAAAACGACTTGGCCGTCTACCTGTTTGACGCGGGAAGAGATGAATACCGCATTGCTGAACGCGATATTTCGCAATTCAGACCTGGCTATTTCGATACTCTTCACGGTTCGCCCAGCAAATATCTGCGTCACCATCTCATCACTTTTCAATTCCATCGCCCAGAGCAACTTCGCTGGTCTTCTTGGCTACGTGGCCACAACTATCGGAGAAGAAGCATCACAGATACCCGAACCAGTTCTTGTCGCCTTTACCACTCACTTCTCGAACAGAACATCTACGTCGGCGACGTTCATCAAGTGCAAAGTCAAGCCCGGTGTTCGCGAACATCTAACCCGGAAAGGTTCAGGGCAGAAGGCGTCATGGATATCTGGCCAACAGAGTCCCAGCGGCACCCTTTATAACGACTTTCCGCGCCCTCGACTCTCCTTAACGAATCTCCAAACTTGGCTTTCTGGGCAGACTCTCGTCAGTAGGCTCCCACAGAGAAGCGCCAGAGGTCCAACTCTCTAGTCCGCTGCCCCAACCCCTTTGTTGCCATTCCTGTTCGTCGACGTTCCTGGCACGGTCAAGCGCTGAGCGGATCCCATAGTAATGAGATGGAAACCGAAAATTGTCGTCGGATCGTTCTCGTTCTTTAACGCAAGCAAGTGCCGCCTCCCTCGACTGCCGCCATCGCGTTCTATAAGGAGCACGTCCGCTCACTGGCTCAATTTGCCCAAACTTTCCTCATTGACCTACACACGCGAAGATTCTGTGCAAGGTATGAACGATATTGTCGCGCTCCTCTCCACGCGTACCGTAGTGGATGCCGCACGCACCGAATTCCTGAATGATCCACACCGACGCAGCGTACCACCAGCTGTCTGCCGTCATGGATTACTCAATTAGGCCACGAGAAGACATTGGGCACGTCACCGGGAAACCTTCACCATAGCATCGAATCTTCCCGACCTTCTTGAGTAGCCACGGTTCCTTCTTCTCTGCTCTACTTACTATACAGGTAAACGCTTTCCTCTTCGTCTTTGTTTCTAGTCCAAAAACGATCGATTTTCCTGAAGTAAAGCAGGCGTAAGAGAGAGAGGAGAAGAGCAGAGACAGTGAAAAGACTGCAGCTGACTCATGTCACGCCTCTACTCAAGTCTGGCGAACGGCCACAATGATGGACCTCTCGAGGACGGTTAATATCACCACTATCGTCGACTCGTCCATCACCCACATCGGCTTGTTACTTATTAGTACTTAATACTACTTATTTGCGTCCTGTTTGCGAGCAGTATGAGCAGGAGCGAGACTGAATGCCCGCTCATATTAATCTATTGACCAGATCATTACTACGATATACACTCCTCATCATTGCGGACTGTCGGGGCGGATCAGTGCGGCTGCGTTTTCCGCGGTTCCAAAGTCTTTCTGCACCAGTTGTTGAAGCGATCAAATGACATAACAGTATATCCTTCGTATTACTCGTTTTCTACCACTTTTTGTCGCATACGCGCTTCAAAGAAAAGGCTGAGACCATCAAACAGTGTGCGCACTCCTTCTGGCTGATACGCCCCGACAGTCCGTAATGATGAGGAGTGTACGTACCATTCGGTACGCAGATGAATCAGTAGGCAAAAGATTCAAAGATCCAGAAGATTTGCGGCTGGGTTAACGTTCAAACGTGCGCTGTTCTTGACAAAAAATAAAGATTTCACAATTTTCAGTGTTATGATAAGTGGTATGTCTACAAAGGGATGTTGCACAGCCTAGACGTGCACACTCATATTGCCAAGCTGGTCATTTCCCACAAATTTCTGGGGGTTTTCATCATCGTTGTGTAAAATATATAATGGAGACAGTATATAGCCGCTGTGGTGAGGGGGTCGTGTAAGCCCTCGAAAGAAAGTTTTTTGCTGGTTGGTTTTTCCCGTTTCACGCACGCCCCGCGAACGACTGCATAGCGCAATATTCATGTGCCTCTGCCTTCTGGTCGACGGTGAAATTCCAAGGGGATGTAGGTGGGCTGTGAAGGGAAAATCGTACCGAATGGGGAAAAAATTGGAAGGAATAAAGTAAGTTATTTAGGTTCAGGGTATGTGACAAGACGATTGCAGTATGCCGCGCACTCGAGAGATGAGCTGTCCTGCCCGGCCGTTTGAATTTTATGTCAAAAGCTAACCCAGCGAATGTACATATATTGCGGGTAGTGGCGTTCAATCAAAAACCTGTATTCGCTAAGTGACTGCAGAGGAGGAAAAAGCAAGAAAGAAAAAAATCGTGGAAGACATCTCAAGAAAGGAGTTGGCAGCCTTTCTGGACGAGTTTTCCGGACCAGCTAGTTTTGGGTGAGCGAAGCGATATCCTGTCGCCTCCGACTCACTAATCGTTTCTTTGCGTTAGCCAGTGTTACTACCATCTAGCAGTGAAAAAAAAACCAAAAACGCGGCGTAAAACTAGTCGTGACAGAAACTGTACTTGAGCTTCGGTGGGCGAGACAACCAGGGAAGCGTCAGAAGTGCCACTTATGAGGGCCACAGCGCTTTCGTTGCTTAGTGCGGAGCCGCAAAAAAGGGATATCCCAGAGATTGAGGACCAGACTACTTGTACAAGGAAGGACGGCTAGGAATTACTTTGTTGCGCATGGTAGTGATGTATGCTATAATATTATTGATTGTTGTTGTAGTTTTCTTTAGAAGATAATCAGCATTATTATAGCTCTGAACTGGTTTAACAAGTTTCTAACGTTTAAACCGTGTTGACGCTGATGACGTAGAACTAGGACAGCCGGATTGGTGGCAGGGTTTGAGCTCGACCTGTGGACGCTGCGGAGGCCAATGACCTTCAATACATCGCTCCCGTCGGACGCCCCTCTTCCCGAATTTTCTTTGTCACTGAATAGCCTGCTCACGATGTTCACATTTGTGGTTCATCGCTCATTGTTCCTATTTGTGTTACTGCGTTTTGTTTTGCAGCATTTAGCAAAGCGATAAACAGTGGTTTATTTTCAAGAACGTGGTCACTCCAACCCGATACCGATACCAGTGACAACCAATACCAACTGCTTGAGCGTGGCGACTAACTTCAAAAGGACGACAAATATCGATATCCGGGTAAAGCCTTGCCTCCGCTCGAATTCACATGAGTTCCGCTGCTCCAATCGAAAATCAGTGCACATCGAGAATCAAGCATCGAGACACCGCAGCTCAGTATACCCCTTATCCCTGAGACGGGGTAGGCGTGGCATTCAAACAGAACTGGCTACTCGTGGGATATTTCAATTTGAGAAAACCGCCATCTTGTTCTTTGTTGGACACAGACGCGACCACATTTGGGTCAAAATGAAAATATCTCTCCAAAAGCATAGCCATACGACGTTTAGTTGAAGTACGCAGCCACGCCTACCCCAGGGATTTCGAGTGTACATCGTCGCGCACCGCCGCAAATTTTCCGACTGCTGCCGTTTGGAAGCGCTCACATTTGGCTGCTGGCTCATTTATGAAGTGCCTAGATCACCAAATCTAAAAACTTAGATAGTCATTTAACATTCTGGTCAGAATATGACATTCATTCTTGGCACTGGTGCTAACGCAGAACAGTATAATCATCTGCGCTCTGCAAAGGCTGAGCCTAGCCTGAAGGGATTCACTACTTCTACCACGCTCAGCCTTAGGGTTGAGGGGTGGGGAAGTGGAGTAAGGAGGGTTGTACGTAATGGCGGTCACAACACTTCATAAGTACCGCGAGCAGCCACAACTGAATAAGTCCAAAGGGCACCACTCCAAACTGCCTCGGGCGCGACGGCACGGTCAGTTACGAATGTGTTGCCCGCCATCCAGAAGTTCACGCAACATGATGATGTGCTTCGCATGAAAATTAGCAATGGACTTCGATCGCAGGGGTCGATGCAACATCCGCATCTAGCCAAAGCAGACTAAAGACAAATGTGAAAAGGATCGGAAATTTGGTCGTATGGAAGATTATTTATGTCGCCTACTGCTATCAAAAATAATTTATCTAATTATGGCGGGGTCCTACTTCGATGAGCTCATCTAAGCTCATCGAAGTATCGTGAGAGTACAAGATGTCGTTATGTCTCACGTTCATCGACTTGAAGGAGCCTTCGACTCCGTTGAGACAGAAGCGGTTATCGAAGAACTAAGAATCCTGATGTACTGAGTAGGACCCTTGGGCAGCCAGGGTGTTTATACTCAGTACATCAGGATTCTTAGTTAGCTCTGCAGCAACTTCACAACCAGGATCTCACCATTCTACTTCGACATGAAGAGAGGGGTCCGACAGGGATTCAATTCGCCCAAGCTCTTCAGCGCCTCTCTCGAGATGTCACGCGTCAACTGGAATGGGATGACATGGGAATAAAGACCGACGGTCGGCAACCACAAGATCTCCGCTTTGCTGATGACATAGTTTTGACAACACCACACATCGAGCAAGCACAACGAATGCTAGCTGTTTTCGACTGCGCGTGTGAATGGGTCTACAGGGTTTCTGATGCGTCATTCACGCTCAACGGAACGACTATCTCTGAACGCTCTAGCTATGTCTACCTAGGTAGGGAAATCAATATGATGAATGGCTTACCGGGGAAGTCCGCCAACTTACCATGGACTTTTAATGGACACCCGAGTAGATCGATGGAAACTATAAGGTTATTTACAAATATAGATAGCGAAACTGCAACATGCATTTCACAAGCAACTTATGAGCAGGTAAAGTTTGTGATGGTGCGGTAGGATAGAGGCTCGGTGGTGAGATGTGAAGGGAAAGCGAGGAATCGCACATGTCAAACCGAATTGTGGTGGAGGCTGTGAAGCGAGAGCCTTAGCACTGAACTACAACGACTCGATTTCACGTATGCATTCCTCGCTTATACTTCACAGCTCACCATCAAGCCTCTACCCTACCGCACCACTACAAACTTTACCTGCTCATACGTTGCTTGTGAAATGCAGGTTGCAGTTTTGTTATCTATATTTGTAAAAAACCTTATAGACTTTACTGACGTTCCCAGGTTTCCATTCAAAGTTCCATGGTTAGTTGGCGGACCTCCGTGGTTAGCACCAGAGTTAAGCAGGAAGAAGCGAGCTGGAACATGGAGGGAGTAGCGAAGAGGACGAAGAACACCAGGCTCCGCGCCCTCCTCTTCTATTCCGCGGTCCTTCCTGCTTACTTACGCCTCGGAGACTGGGTCTCTACGAAACCAGAATCAGTATGCGGTTAGTGTCATTCAGCGCGCTATCGAAAGGGCGATGCTCGGCGTTTCCCGCTACAGGCAGGTGAGAGATAATCCAGAGCTCCGCACTCCGTCGACGATCGAACATCGGATAAGCAGCCGCATTTGCCAAGGTTTCGAAGATTAGGTGGACCAGAGCGATTACCGACTGGATTCCACAGGATGTCAAGCGAACACCTGGGCGACCGCCTACGCAATGGTCAGACTTCTTCGTGAAAGCTCTGAACGAATGGCGTGAAGTTCATCGTGTCCCTCGAGCAGGGAGAACCCATTGGGCAACTTTCGCGTTGCAGGAACGAACGGAGACGTTGCACGCGCCCACTCGAGGAACTCGATCAACGAGCACAGGTGACACAGGTGACGGCGAGATCCTCTTCCTAAAGGCGAAGAACTCCCTCCATCCTCGATGAAGACCTCATCAGAATAAAATACAACACTGCCGGTAGCGGTAAAAAACTGTTTGGAATCGCGCTGACGGAAGACAAATTGCTTGAAATCGCCCACTGCTATCGAAATAATTCATCTGAGTATGGCGAGGTCCTCTTAATGAAGGCGAGAATTCCCTTCATTCTCAGGATGGACTTCATTAGGGAAGTCATCGTCGGTAGCGGCAGACAAGCTGTTTGGAACCCTTGTGACCAAGCTTGCATGCCATTTATATGACACTAACATTTTCAAAGAAAAGCGAGTTCACGAAGGAGCCCCCATTGAGAAAGAGCTTCAACTATCGCATAGCTACTATATTTTCACAAAGCAAATAACCTTCTTTACAATCAGTCTTGAGGAGAACATTTTGTTCAAACTGCTAGAGCTACGGTAGCTCTCTTAATTGATATTAATTTTCATTTTCCGATATGCGACTGCAAATCTGTTCCTATCAAATGACAGAATGGAAACATGTGGAGCAAATACAAGGCGTGTGAAAAGTGAGTGGAAGGCTTCCAGCAAAACCATTGTGCTGTAGCACTGCGGCGAGCACAATTATGAAAGAACAATTCGGGATTAATAGCAAACAGCTAACTACTATCATAGATTAGATCAGCATCTTTGCCTTCCATGGCACATAGGTAATAAATTCAACAAATATTATCAATTACAATCAGTGATGACCAGTAGTACAAAAATCCACTGTTCATATATACCATTTTCACTTCAAATTCACCCTTTAACCAAATGCACCCTTTTTCAAACCAAATTCACCCTTTTTTTTGAAACCAAATTAACCCTTTTTCAAACCAAATTCACCCCTTTTCAAACCAAGTTCACCCTCACTTTTCACATCAAATTAACCACACTTATTAGGGCGGGCAACTCATGAACTAGATCACGCCAGACATTACTGCGAGCCCCGCCCCGACGGCTACGCCCACTTCTCAGCGCGGACATGGATTCTTAAATCTTGTTTCATACCTTCTGCTTTTGCTGTTTCCCACAAACACTTTGAATTGAAACGACCGGGCATTGACACATGACCGACTCCGCCTATTCTCTAAAGGGTTTGGCAATCTAGGCTGACCACGCCCACTTGCTTTTCGCGGGCTTTCGATATTTTTTCAAATTTTTTGCATTCTAAGGCTGCTGCGCGAAGCCCTCCGTGAGAGGCCCCGCCCACTTTGAAGAAGCTCCGCCCACTTTTCGAAAATGGTGCAGATCGGCAGTATAGAACCTTGGCTTGCATGCTAGGGTCCCGTTCGTCACTCGGAACAAGAAAATCCGGCAAAGTTTATTCCGAATGATCAGAAATACCCTAGCAGATACTGCATCGCTGGTGGCAACATTTTAACGAAATTTCGAACGTGGAGTTCGCACACCCTCCAATTCCGAAGGTCTGCTAAGTAACCGCCGGTCCCGCACAGCCTATCACCGTCGAGGTAACCAGGGCGATCGACAGCATGAAGAACCAAGAAGCGCCAGGACTAGATAACATACCGGTAGAGGTCTGGGAAATGAAGGAGCTACGACAGGAAGGTATTCCGTGGCTCACGCAATTTCTCAATGCAGCCGTTGATTCAGGCCGTGCACCTAGGATTGGGCTACGAGCATTACTGTGCCCATCTTCAAAAACAAACGACACCCGGCCGAATGTTCCAATTACCGCCCCATTCGCTTACTTTCGCACACCATGAAGATCTTCGAGCGAATCCTTGATCAGCGGTTACGCGACACGATTGATTTGAGCAACAACCAGTGCGGCTTTGTGAAAGGACGAGGAACAACGGATGCAATATTTGAAGCTCGCTCACTCATAGAGAAGCGGGAAAAGCGGAAACCACTTCATATGGCTTTCTTGGACCTCGAGAAAGCTTACGATCGAGTGCCCCATTAACTAATCTGGTATGCGCTACGTGAGCATGGAGTGCCTGAAGCACTTATCAGCTGGATTCGAATGCTGTGAATGAACCCCACCAGTCGAGTACGATGTGCTGCGGGGTTATCGAAGAGCTTTCCAATAAAGGTTGGAGTTCACAAAGGTTCGGCCCTCTGGCCATTGCTGTTTATCCTCATCATGGACACACTCACACGAGATCTGCAACATGCTGCTCCATGGACATTGCTCTATGCTGACGATGTTCTTCTAGCGGATGTCAGTAGAGAGGAAGCATGGAATGACCGTCTAAGGCAGTACGGCCTTCGCCTCAACATCAGAAAGACGGAATACTTAGAGACGGAACCTAGCCAAGGCACGATCAAAGTCAAAGGCGAAGACTTACCGAAAACGATGTCTTTCAGGTACCTAGGGTCCCGCCTGCAATGCGGAGGTGGTGTTGATGATGAGGTTCGATTAAGAGTCAACGCGGCATGCATGAGATGGAGAAAAATTACTGGGGTGCTATGTGATAGGCACATGCCTCTTCGCCTCAAGTCAAAGATGTACCGGACCATGGTTCGACCCGTGGCACTGGTCGGATCCGACTGTTGGCCAGCAACCAAAAGTGCCGAGCTTCAACACCACTCCATGAAGATGCGAATGCTGTGACTGTCAATGGGCATTTCACGCCACGATAGAATCAGTAATTATGTGATTAGATGCCAGATGGGTGTCGCTCCAATCGCCGAGAAGCTGCAAGAGAGATGGCTCCAATGGTATGGCCACGTTTTGCGAGCTGAGCGAGATACCGTCGCTTCTATTGCATATTGACTTGGAGTAGACGGTCACCGGCCGAGATGAAGACAAAAACAACGCTGGTAGGACACTATAAATGCGGACTTGAGAATGGTCAACCTTTCTAAAGAAGATGCCTAGATCGAGCAAAGTGGCGACTTTCGATTCGAAGAACGGACCCTGCACAAGCGGGACAACGTTAGAAGAAGAAGAAGAAGATCAGAAATACCCTAGCCTGCAAGCCAAGGCTCTATAGCGCCGATTTGCACCATTTTTGAAAAGTGGGCGGGCTTTTTCGGAGGCGGAGCCTCCCACGGAGGGCCTCACGCAGCAGCCCTAATATGCAAAAATTTGAAGCCCGCGAAAGCCCGCGAAAAGCAAGTGGGCGCGGTCAGCCTAGATTGCCAAACCCTTTAGAGAATGGGCGGAGTCGGCCGTTTGTCAATGCCCGGTCGTTTCAAGTCAAAGTGTTTGTGGGAAACAGCAAAAGCAGAAGGTATGAAACAGGATTTGAGAATCCATGTCCACGCTGAGAAGTGGGCGTGGCCGTCGGGGCGGGGCTCGCAGTGATGTCTGGCATGATCTGGTTGATGAGTTGATAATAATAACTCATAAGAATAACCCTAATAAGTGTGGTTAATTTGATGTGAAAAGTGAGGGTGAATTTGGTTTGAAAAGGGGTTGAAATTGATTGAAAAAGGGTGAATTTGGTTTGAAAAAGGGTGAATTTGAAGTGAAAATGGTATAAACAGAGTGCACATATAAAAGAGGGAAATATGAGAGAACAGCTGAAATTGCTGACCCTTCAGATGAAGAGAGAAGAGACCGAACAACGGAGAATAAAAACGCTAAACGACCAGGCGTTTCCGAGTACGTCGTATGAAAACCAGCGGCGATCTGCTTCAGTTTGGACGGTTCAAAGAATCGTACACGACTTCTTCTGCTTTAGCGGTTTAGGATTTATAACAGCGCGGACGGCGTCCTCGAAAACCTTGGAGATATTTCTTTATAAAATCAAAGCTACGCCTCATAACAAAAGAACAGAACAGTTCCACACAGAAAAATAAGGGAAACGAACAAACCTGCTTCAATCCCTGTTGCGTCAGTGCTGAACATTCGAGGTATTTGACCGCTTTTATCTTTTGTGCACACTTCTGCCCTTGGCTTTTCGTTATGGGCGGTCTGTCCTCGGTTGCACCTGCGCGAATGTTAACTTCATCTCGCAAATCAAGCTTCGTTCCTGCAATATGTAGGGGCTCAGTCGAGAAGGAATAAAAAAAATCACTGAACCGAACTTTTCAACGTACCCACAAGAAGAATCGGAGCATCGGGACAGTGCTGGCGTATCTCTGGTATCCACTTTGTGGTCACGTTGTCAAACGAAACTGGCGAAACAAGGCTGAAGCAAAGCACGAAAACATCTGTTTGCGGATAGCTCAACGGCCTGAGTCGATCGTAATCTTCACTAAAAAGAAAGACATTGAATGAATGAATATATATATATATATATGTATAGTATATATATATATATATATATATATATATATATATATAATATATATATATATATTATATATTATATATTTATATATATATGTATATATATATATATATACTTTATATTTAATTTGAGACGCTGAACTGAACTATGTCCGCCCGACACTTGTTCAACGAACGATCTTTTGAATAAATTCGTAATGGGTCTAACCTCTTCTTACAAGTGGAACTTGAAGGTGAAACTGTTCACTTCGATGATTTCTTTTGTGCTAATAAGTTGTTAAGTAGGATTTTAAAAATGACCCGACATTTCAATTAGATTATCTAGGCTAAAAGTGCGTCAAAGTTCCATAAGTTTCCTACATAGGTTGTCAAACGTCTTTTGTGCCTATCATTTCCGAAGGAATCCCCAATAACCCGGAAATCTCGCATCTGAGCCCATGAGTGCACCAACACAGGATGAGAAAGTCACCGCTCTTTTTACTGTCCGTTTATATAACATATCTCTACAATGAATTGGAATACTAAAGCACACGTTGAAGTGCATGTGAAGTAAGGTGACATAAACAACTGAAAATGATGGTAACCAAGTCGAATAAACTTGCTAACAGGTCTTTTGAAAACGTACTTCAACGGACTAAGATTTTAGCGAAAAAGAAGACTGGAGCTGATACGAAATCTGCTGCTGAAAACTACGACGTGTGGGATGGAGCAGTTCTTTTGAAACCATAACTGGCCAACAGAAGATTGAGTTTTTCCTCCTCCTCCAGTTGCAGGATGAACAGCCGCAGCGGGTGTTTATCCATTAAAAATGATCTCTTCCCATTCGCATTGCACTGCGAGCTACTGTTGCAAACGGTGAGACATTCAACTACCAATTTTATTAGGTTGTATAAAAAATCTACCATCAACAGATGATGGTTAGACGGCGCAAGGGCTCGGCTTTACGAGCATCAGTTTATTACGTCTGCTAAGGCATACATGGGATAAAAACACATCATTACTACGTAAATAAGTTCCAGTATGAACATCTGTGAGTTTATAAGTTCGAGGTTGATTCCCAGTAACAGTAATTAACCAATCTAGACCCAACATCCCTAATAGACGTCTACAAATACGATCTGTGAACTGATTATGCGACCAAATAGCAGGTATGTTTTTTAATTTAAATACGCGCTGCCAGCTCTGACGATGAGGCTCTTTGCACGTAAATTAGTCTTAGGCTTTGTCAAGATCGTTATGGGACCACCTACAGTGTTCGAAAGGACCATTTTGAAGTCATAATGGAACCAGACCCACATGAGCCATAAGCCATTTTATAAGCTTGTGAATTAATCAAAGATCAAAGACATCCCGTCTGGACTGTAGAGATAATAATCGCAGGAATTCATTCCTGTTTGATGCTTTTGGCATTTTGAGTATATAAGCTTACCAGTTCTAGTGAATAGTTTGCGAGTGAATTTATTTTATGCGTAAATGTGCTTCCTTGTCGTAAGGCTGGATAGGCTAAATACCGTAGTGCTAGCTTCTAACTAGTCGAACATAAGCCCTGTAGACATGCAATAATGCTTGCGTGTTTGCTATTGATAAGACGGAGAAAGTGTGCAATATGTATAAGTGTGTCGCTCGGTCCCTCCTTTCAATATGCTCCGGAAACTAATCTATCAGTGTAGAGAAACTCGAGTTCTATAACAGATTGAGCAGCTGAAAATGGAACCCCATCCATAGAGTACGAGGACGACGGTTGGAAGATGTTGGAGTTAAGTTGCATGTAAGCTGTTTTCTGCGGAGCAATAGCTATCTGCCATTTCCTGGACCAGACCAGTGGATGCATCACAACTTCCTAACCAAATTCCGTCAATTTGTTCCGAGTCATCAAAGATGTGTGTAGCCGCACATTGGGGTGATGGAAGACAATCCCCTATCTGTTGGCCACTTCTGGTCTATTTTCTTCCACTGCTTCGTTCAAGCTGTCGAGTTGTGCACAGTACATGACCGAATTAACAGTTTCACCAGGTTGCAACAGCTCATAAGAGCAATTCCCTTCCAGCTCCACCAAACACTGGCCTACCAAAGCAAGGTGCACTCTGATACGAGCAACGAGAACAATTGTTTCGAAAGTGTGAAATGAAATGTTACTTTTTAAGCACACATTTTATATCACCGCAACCATTCAGGTCGCCATCAGTCTTCCCGCCTGCAGCGTTCCCATCACTGGCTAATTTCTTCCTAAATCAATCACTCAGCATTGATCGAGCAAAGCAGCCGAAGGCGGGCACATGTCGCGCTGCTCTCGCCGCCCGCGACTGGTTGCGATAATATCACCCACTATATGTTAATATATGTTGAGTACTACTGAAGATAAGGTACTAGATCCGGTTTATGGTGAAAAATCGCGAGTTCTTATACAACCCACTACTTCTATAGGGACAGCACATAGACCAACAATCTACAGGGTGGCGACTGAATTCCTGCGCTGCTAGACTGAGTGAATTTATTTCTTTCATTTGGCTTCTGTAAGTGTACATCTCAAATCGCTCTGACAGTTCCCCGCCGCCAATGCGAGACACTTTAGCGGCAGATAACTCGTCCAGATTGCACAGCTCTCACGTCAGCCCTGCCCCTCAACTGTATTTATGCGCAGGAATAGCGGCAGATAACTCGTCCAGATTGCACAGCTCTCACGTCAGCCCTGCCCCTCAACTGTATTTATGCGCAGGAACTAACAATCTGGCCTCGCCGACGAATGAAATTTCTCATTAATCACTGCCACTGGGGAGTGAGTGAAAGTGTGACGTTGCCGATTTCATTTGATATAACCAAGGGAGACAAAATCTTCCATACAGGGGGAGGGGGAAAGACACCTTGACCGAGTCACATATCAGTAACGTTTATGCAGCCCAGAAGACGTGGATACGAATACCAGGGCAGAAGGCACCCAAGATGTTCCTCGATAAGCAGGAGCAGCCTGTCGTCCTTCACCTTCACCAAAGTATGAAGCCATCAATGTCTGACTAGAGTAAGCCTATGGAATTCACGTCACCTCCAGCTGTGAAACTTCGTGCATGGAGCCACCCATGGACAGCTACTTGGAAGGCACTCTTGAACTGGAAGGCGTCCAACATCGAGCAGCTCCGACAACGTTGCTACGGTGCAGGATATCATCTTCACCACACCATAAACGCCAGGCGCGGGATGAAGCTTCTGGTTTGCGAAGACCGATATTTTCTTTGTGGACCCAGGACCGAAAGTGAACGCTGACGCGAGAGGACGGTGTGGCACATAACCCTGCATCGACCGACTGAGAATATCCTGCCTTCATGTGGCCGCCTGAACCATCTTGGAATTTTCGTACTGCTGCAGGGTTGGGTGCCAGCACATAGAATCGAAGGGAGTTGGAAAAACTCCCTAATTTGGAATAGTAGGGCGTTGAGTACCTGAAGAAGATGGAATATAGCCCCTTCAATTATCGGGTTCGAGCGGAGCTCAACAGGGAGTCTGCAGTGGCGGAGAATCAATGACCTCTCTAAACTCAGGCACCGAATCACGGTCGCGTGGCGGAATCTTTCGATGGCGCTCGTCCAAAAGGCTGTGGGAGTATCATAATAGTGTATAAGGTGTTGTTCAATATGATGGTGGAAACCTCCAATCAGAATTCAATAAAGTATGACTTATATCGCCTTGAAAGTCGCGGAAGAAAAGTGTCGTTTTTGGCCCCCCTGTATATCTTCCCGAAACTCCCTCACTCTCCGGTGACAGTAATCAATGAGAAATGTGAGCATATGACGCATTTTACGTCTTCACTTCTATAAAAGTACACATGTTTGAGTGATAAAAAGTATAAAATGTTATTTTTTCATATGTAGACCCAGAACAAAACGGGTCAAATTAGGATTTTTCAAAGGTCAACCTTGAAGAGGAAAAATAAGCAGTGAGCGAACTGAGAAGAAGAATGGGTCATGAGCCCGTGATGGCTATAAAACTATGCTCTCTCAGCAAGTAAACAACATGGAAATAACAATTTTTGTAAAATCGACGGTTCGGCGAATTAATCCGTCGCAAACCGTCGCTTTGCCATAATTTCCGTCAAACTTGTCAAAATGATCTGAAATCCGGACCATTCTATTGCCCTGTACAAGACGAATCCAATGATGCATGGAGCTACCTTTTTCCTTCAGCTTTTTGACGTCTTTCCCAGGGAAACTGAGGTTTGAGCCTCCAATAAAGGTGTTACCTGCGGACATGGCTGCGTCGTAAACCCTCCAGTCCAATTATGAACTTGAAAGCAAGCGCTCGAAGGCCCTAAATACCAGCATGTTCGTAGAGCACAATCCCGTGATCATTTTGATACTTTTCATGATAGGGGTTTCAGCAAGGTCCAGCGAGTATCATGGTTCATTGACGGCTCTTTCCTTGATTGTAGGTTTGAATCGGCTATATGATGACTTAAGGAACACTGTCTGATATATGGGCAACGATCCTGGGAAGCTCACATTGGCTCCATAGATTGCCGCAATTGTTCGAAAAAAAAACGAGAAAAACGCATAACTGCGTTTTTTCCGTTTTATTTTTACTATAACTCAATTTGTGTGAACTTTTCTCATACAGAACCCCATGCCGTTAGACTCAGCTTGTCGAGTTCTATAAGCTGACATCCTGAGATACTGACAATGTCGAAGACTGAACTATGCTTCCTATCGAAGTACCTGAGGACACTCCTTACCCAGCGAGTCTCGCTATAATTGTAACAAGAGGGTAATCGTTGGGAATGAAAACATTCAAAAATTGAATAACATGCGGTGTCGCATAATAAGTGATTGAAATTTTACTTACGGACGATATCTTTTCATTCCAAAAAATCTCGAGCACTGTTTCAATTCGGAGCACACGAGCACAATGGGCCTGATATAGGGAGCCCTGTTTTCCCCAATATTCGCGAAATTCAAGAATGAAGTCAAAAAGAAGGATTTTTTAGCTTCTTGAAATGAGTACTCGTGCGATACCAAAACATACTCTATTTTCAGCGTTTTCGAAAAGGATTT